AATGAGTTAACGTTTCAGGTCTATCGTCAGACTGGCCAAAGTTGGGTGGCAGACCCTGAGTCAAGCCCCGTGGTTCCCGGGTGTTTGGATTGACCCTCTCGTTGGACGAGTTTCTGAATGATCAGATCAATGTCTTTTATAAGTGGTCTTTTATCATCTAAATGGTCCAGTCAGTGCAGTGCGATGTCGCACCTTCGCACATCGCGGGACTTTTTCCATCTCACAGAAACTTTGAGGGTTTTTACCCTTTCGCAAAAGCCACATCCTCCAATTCGCCCCACGCTTGGCACATGCCAACGGGCATCCAAATATACTGCAGGACATGAGGACCCCATACCTGCACACACCCTCCCCTTTGCCCTCTGCGATCCAGAATGCCAGTCAATGTTAAAGCATTCGTTATGTCAGAATTGTTTCTGTGTGTGTGTGTGTGTGTGTGGGTGTGTGTGTGGGAGGGGGGTGTGTGGAGAGGGAGCCCGGTCACTGCCCTCCCCTCCTCACCTCAAACCCTCCCCACCACCACCACCGGCCTGGGCAGTTCCTGGCAGGAGGGACTGGAATGAGATAATCATGATCATCCTTGCATTTGATATCGCGCCTTATCACATCAAAGTGCTTCACAAGATATAGCGTAAAGTGAATTGACTGTACATTTGTGGGCAAAACGCAGCAGCCAATTGCGCAGAGTAGCGTCCCCACAAACAAGATTGAAGTGACCAACTTATTTTGGTTTTTTTTGAGGGATTATTATCCTCGGAAAAGTGATCCGCCAATCAACTAACAACCGGGTTCCTACTTACTGCTCGTAAACAGAGGCGTGATGGGGGTGGAGTAAAGAAACTTGCCCAACGTTTCACCCTGCCGGGAATCAAACCCAGGTCTCTCGTGTGCGAGGCGAGGGCCCGAACCACTGAGCTACAGGGCTCCACAATCACTCACTTGCCCAGAATTGTCTAGTTGGCAGAGGAGAGGGGTAGGAAGTCACGTGGCTTCCCAGACATAACATCAGAAAATGCTGCAGTGACGATCCTCGCCTGTGACTTCACCTCTTCCTGTCCCAGTGATCAGAAACAGCTACATGAGAAAATTCCCCACATGTCAGTGTCTGTTTAACAGAGAATTTCTTTATTTAGAAGCAGAGACATTTCAACAACAACCACAAATGACATTTACACTGCGGCTTTCACTTCAGGAGGACGTCCCAAGGCGCTGGACAGTCAGGGATCTGCACCTGAGCTGGTGGTTGGGATCAGGAGGTGGTGGAGTGGATGGGAGGGGAGGCGTAAGAGAGTGAGCGAAGGTTTGGTTGAAGAGGAGGGTCAGAAAATTTATAACACAGAAAAGAGGCCATTCGACCCTTGGTGTGTGCTGGCTCTGAAAGTGCAGTCCATTCAGTCCCATCTACCGGCCCTTTCCCTCTGACCCCATTTAAAGTTCATATCTCACAGACTCGGCCTCTGCCCTCACACAGAGTTGGGTCGCGCTGCCGTGTCGCAGGCACCGACCTTCCAATGAGACATTAAGCCAAGCTCCCGGCTGTGCCTGTTCAGGTGAATAATAAAGAACAAAGCTTCGGATAAATTGGTTGTATTCAGTTCAATCCAGTTTCTGATGTGCACAAATTGTCTGCCAACACATTAGTCACTACGCTCAACTGCAATTTTCAGTGACGTATTTTGAGACATAATGATGTTATAGGCACTGTATTAATCGCAAGGATTGTTATAATAATCCTAACGTGATATCTATATCAATCCACCACGTTTGTGGGACCCCGCTGTGTGCAGTTGACTGTCGAGTTTCGCCCACAAAACAGTCACTACACTTTACAGTATATCCTGTGAAGCACTTTGAGATGTTTTGACAACGTGATAAGACGCTTTATCAAAATCAAGGATTATTTTTACTGTTATATAAAACAATTTCCAGTTATTGTTATTGTAAAGGAATAGTTAACGTTCAATAGTGAAATATTCTCTCCTTAAGTCTGTATTCGCACAAGTCGGGAACGTCGGGAATGACAGGCCACAGCCCCGGCTTCCTGCAGACACAGCTTTGTGCTGTTCCTCATTAATTATTCAATCCCAAGGAAACCGGCCTTTTGTCGCGAGGATGAGCCGTGTTATTGTAGCCTTCCCCGTGGCTGAGTGTGTGTACATCATGTGTCTGTTTATCATGTGCGTGTGTGTATTGTGTGCTGTGTGTGTACATTGTGTGCCTGTATATTGTGTGCTGTGGTCTGTTTATCATGTGTGTATGTGTGTCATGTATCTGTATACACTGTGTGCTGTGCGTGTATGTTGTGTGTCTGTGAGATGTGTGTGTATGTTATACCGTGTGTGTACAATGTGTGTATGTACAATCACTGAATTTAAAAATGTTAAGATCACAGGCTGAGACCGGGTGGAATTTCGGGCCCCTGTACCCCCCCCCACCCCACCCACCCACACACAGCTGCCAAAATATCAAAATAGGCAGTGGGGTGGGGGGCGGGTGGTGTTGAGGGGGGGCAGGGATGGGGGGGGCGTACGGTGTGGGGGGGGGTGGAGGCAGTGGGGTGGGTGGTGTTGAGGGGGGCGGGGGTGGGGTGGTGTTGAGGGGGGGGTTCGATGTGAGTGTGGAGGGAGGCAGTGGGGTGGGGGGTGCAGCAGTGTGGGGGAGGCAGTGGGTGGGGGTGCAGTGTGGGGGGAGGGTGTGGGTGCAGGTGGGGGAGGCAGTGAGGGTGGGGGAGGCAGTGGGGTGGGGGGTGCAGTGTGGGTGGGGTGGAGCGGGTGGGCTGTTGGGGGGAGTGGGGGTGCGGTGTGGGGGGAGGCAGTGGGGTGGGGTGCGGTGGGGGGAGGCAGTGGGGTGGGGGGCGGTGTGGGGGGGTGAGGAGTGGGGTGGGGGGGCGTGTGTTGAGGGGGGTGGGGGGAGGCAGTGGGGGGGGGTGGGGGAGTGGGGGGAGGCAGTGGGGGGGCGGTGTGAGGGGGGGGGGTTGGGGGGGAGGAGTGGGGGGGGGGAGGGGGGTGTGGGGGGGGGGGGGGGGTGTGGGGAGTGGGGGTGGGATGGGGGTGGAGGGTTGTGGAGGGGGGTGGGGGTGGGGTGGGGGGGCAG